ACACACACACACACACACACACACACACACACACACACACACACACGACAGAAGCTAAGCTTGGATGGTGTTCTTTTCCTTCAACCAAACTGTGGTTGGAGGAAGCTTGGTTGAAGGAAAAGAGCCATCCCATACCCAGACCATCAGAGGCACCCTATTCTCCGTAAGATCAGTCCAGCATTCATGATCTGACACCTGTGTGTTTTGTCCACCAAGTACCCAAATAAATGCTCTGCTCCCATTCAGCATCCCCAGTGTCCCCAGAACAACTGCAGATATCAGCATCCTGGCCAGGGACACTGGTTTCCTCCCCATCTCTGACAATGGGCTTCAGTCCTAGTTGGTCTGTCTGTGCTACTCACCTGGACCTTGTATTTCTGCCTCATTATGTGGGTCAAGGCAGTGTGGGCAACCTTGTGCCCAGGAACTGAGGGGGCAACAATCTGAATGGTTTACCTTCAGTACCTCTCTAGGCCTCTCCCCAGGACTGGCCCGAAGTGGTCTTTACCTACAGCAGAGATCCATCATGGATGGGCATTAAGCATTTATACCAACAATGTTCTTGCTTTTCAGTTAGAAGTGTCCTAGCACTATATCATATAACTCTTGCTGTTCAGTCTTTTCCTTATTACCCCACAGTAACACCAATGGAGGCTTTCAACTCTTAGTCCAGTAGAAAGACTGGTGAGAGTTTCACTCTCCAGCAGAAGAAAGCACTATACCTGTCAGGCAAGCTCCAAGAGGCAGTAGGTCATTTCCCACTAATCTTGCTGACTTTTCCCAGAACCATCAATAGCTGCTGGCTTAGCACAGGGATGGCTGAAAGTTCATGCCCTGGGGTCTGGCTCATACTTGTGCTTAGGGAGGAGGGTGGCAGCCTCCACACTGACTAGTGCAGCTACTGGAGGCAGAGAAGCAATTTTCCCACTGGATCCTGTATCTCATTTGTTTTTTTTAGGACAGGGTCTTACTATGTAGCCTAGGCTGGTCTGGAACTCATAATCCTCCTGCCTCAGCCTCCTGAGTGCTGGGATTACAAGCTTGTACCACACCAGGCTTGTATCTTCCTCTTCTTTCTAGAATACCTAGCTTAGTGTTGCAACCTGGTATTTTTGTAACTTTACATTTTATTTCATACTAGAAAAAGTCATCCTCTCATTTGCTATACATGTCAAAGAGAGACAAACATGGCAGAGTTTAAGAATCAGCCATGACCAGTGATTCCCCTCCCAGCTTGCTAGTGGCCTGTACCTTTCTTTGTTCAGGATTGGTGCTTGTTCCTGCCTTCACTATCCAGAGAGGAACTGAGACAGGGCTGACTCAGTTCACAATCTCAACTGACTTTCCTGCCCCTAGTGCAGTATGTGCCCAGACTTCAAAATCCACTGAGTAGCTATGTAAAGTATTAAGAAAACCTAAAACCTCCCTCTAAAAATCTCTAACAAGAGTCAGGTGGTCCCAGATTTATAACAATGTATATTGGAAAATGCTCAACTTCTGAGAAGTAGGCTTAGTGCTTCAAAGGCTTTGGGGTAGTTTTTCTCAGGGCTGTGTGTGTGTGTGTGTGTGTGTGTGTGTGTGCGCTCGCGCGCGCGCGCACGCACATGTATCTAGAGTTATTATCCTCAATAACAGGTTGAATTCCGCCCCCCTCCAGTCTTTGTTGTCCCTGCCCTAAGCCTGTTTTTTACCCCACCAGGACCCCCCATCCAGCTCTCAGCAGGTAGAATTTTCTGTGGAAAACAACACTAAAGAATTCACATTCAGCTTGGGGGAGGGGTGAGGGGAGAGGGGAGAGGAAGGGCGTTCCATAGTCTTGCAGGATTTTACCTTGATTCAGCCAATTAGGGCAGGCCAAGGTCAATTTTGTATAGCCTCCCCCCAAGTTCAGGAGACAAAAGGTGTTTGGAGTTGTAGGGTCAAGGAGGGGCTCACCTCACCACTGAGTTCCTGCAACCCTGCTGAAAGTGAAACAGAGCCTGGGTGGCTGGGCATGGATTGAAATTACAAACTGTGGCTCTTCTACAAATGTGGAGGTTTATTTCAACAAAATGTGAAAACAGTGCATTGGACTGAAGCTCCTTGCTTGTCGGGGTATATGTCCATCGAATTCTCACTGACGTGAGTGAAGGCGGCTTTGTGAACGAAGTGAACAGATAATATGGCAATCTCAGCTCAAGCAAGTCTTGGTCAATACATCATTTATCCTCCTCCTGCCTCAGTAAACTTGCATGTGTAATGGGCTGTGGGAATATCAACTTGCTCATGTGCTGTGGCTCTTTCTGTCTTCTCCATGTGAAAAATGCCTGTCCTGGGGATGGGTGAGTAGGCACTACGGTTCCAGAGAGGAAGCTTATTCCTTTAATGTGTCATAATTTGGTGGGGAAAGGGGGGGTAAACGAATGTAGCCCACCCTACCCCTGAAGAGATGTTAGGCAGGCCTCCTGGGGAATAGATACCTGCATATCAGCAGTGGGCTTGTGGGATTTGATGTATTTGCAATAAAGTGTGGGGTCAGAGATGATTACCATCCTTACCTACTTAGGTAAGCAAATAGCTAGCAGCAGTGGAAGCTTCTTCCTGGACTGAGAATTGTCTTGCCCTTTTTTGAAGGTGCCAGACACTTGTACCTTCTACCAGGGCAGGCAGAGGCCCCAGCTCCTTGGGGTCAGCTGTATATCCAGCGCTGCTGAGGAGGCCTGTTGATCCATCTGCATAAGGTGCTCCTGAAGAAGAGGTGGGCTCTTTCTTGTGCATGAATTCCAGGGTTAAGGCTCCAAACTGAAGTATTCATACCACTGCTTCTACGGCATTTTAGTGATTTCCTCCTTAGTCTTCAGTGACAAATGGAATTGGCTGCACTGTAGGAACTGGATACTATACCAGCCCTGATCACCTGCCACTCTTGCTTTAGGAATACCAATGGAGGAATGAGAGTAAGCTCCTTTTTTGGGTAAACTAGTTGTTGAAAATAAACTCTCTCTACCACCCCTGAGGAGGCCCCTGCTGCTGGCTGGGGAAGAATCAGAAAGCCTGGAAGACAGCAGCACCATAACTGAGGTGTAAGAGACTTAAGGTCACGTGAATTCTGTATTCCCTGGAAGCCCCCACACACCAGGAAGGCCAGTGCCTGGTTCTGAGATTACAGCTGTCATCAGGATCCTTTCAGCAGCTGCGGGGAGACCTGCCGCACCTGCTGCCTGCACTCAGGGAAGGGACAAAGCCCAGGGATAGTAGGAATGTTAGCCACAGGAGAGCTGCCCTGGAAACAGGGATTAGCAACTCTTATAGGTACCATTAGCTTCTCTTGACTGTCAAAGCTCCAGTCCTCACAGTGACAGCCTTCCAGGTCCTAAGAACAGACTTCCCTTTTCTTGGCCCACTCTCCCTGTGGCATGAGTTTCCATCAGTGACAGAAAAGGCAGCCCCTGTGACTAGTCCTCCACCACTTCAGGCTAATACATTGCCTGAGGCCTCTCATACACTGGCCTCTAGCTCCTAGGTGCATCAGTAGTTGAGTAGTGACAAGAGGGTGGTGCTAGGTTGACCATCTGTCCATGTGTACTAAGAGACGTTACCCCAAGGTAGAGGTCTCCAAATCCAGAACAATAACTTGGTTGATTTTTTTGTCTGCTTCTCAGATCATGGCTTTTCCCTCATTTCTGAGTTCTCCTGGGGCTTGCAGTAAGTAGACTTCATGCTTTAATCTTGATGTGGTTAAACAGTGCCTGGTATGTGCCAGGATGTAGGTGGGGTAATGAATGATGGACTTGAGGCTTCCTCCTCCCCTCAGCCCCAGCCCTCCTCTGCTGCCTGTGGCTGCGGCTCATGAGGCAGAGGGGCTGCTGATGCCTGGAAACTGCTCATAAGTCCCTTGTGGGGGGAGGGGCCCAGAGACTGGCGGGACAGGAGAGGCAGCCCTGTTTTTTATGTAGTAAGACTTCATGGTACATGCTTGTACCCTTCATTGCCTTCTCATTTGTGTGCAGGGAGAGAGGACTGTCATTACAGCTGGGGTAATAAATACTGAATGGGGTAGGTGTGACTGGAGCTTTGTGATCCTATGTCCCAGGATGTCATGCGTAACCTGAAACATTCAGGGGGAAGCAAAATGCCACTCTTGACTCCAGTGCTGGGTCTCCTGTGCCTTCTCATTACAGTGGTTTCAGTTGTAAGAGGCAGCTTTAGCCCTTTTCTCCTGAGACGGGGCAGGGATGGGCAGGAAGCTCTTCCTACGTGGAAGGCGAATCCATCGTGGAGAGGATTCGTACAACTTCTGCTCGCTGAGTGGGTGAGATGTGCTGGGTCATGTGGACAATGGAATCCATGGCAACCTCTGGATTGGCCTGTACCAAGCTGGAGAGGAAGATTGGAGATGGTGAAGCAAAAGTAGAGGCAGAAGTGTCTTGATTGGGGTAGCTTAAGAACTGTCTGGTAAACACGCTGACATGGCCTGCTGCTGACATGGCGTGCTGCAGACACTGTAGTCACTGCTTCACCTTACTAATTTATCTACATTAAAAATGTCCCCAGCAGCCAAGGTGTAGTACAAAGTTAATCAGTAAACATTTTTCTATGTCACAAAGGAATTAAGAAAGAAAAGCTTCAAATAAGAGAATAATGACTGCATGAAAAGGGCTCCCGCTGAATAGATCTGGGACACGCTGCCATTTAACATAAGTACAAAGTGAATTTTAAGTTGTGAAAAATAGAAATTCATTAGTCTACATCAATAATGAATACATAAATGAATTGGAGAGAAGACTTCTGCTCATACCATTTAAGTGATAGACTGACAATTGTGGAGAGCAGGCTGGAAAGTTATTTTGCAAAGATTGGTTCAGGCAAGAATCATCAATGGACGCTAAATCTAAGGGGAAATTTTGATAAGGAGCAACATATTTGCATGAACTTTACAGAGTCTTCCCACAGACTGCTCATAAAGTGCAAGAGGACAAATCAGTAATTACACAGAGAAATGGAGCAACATCTTGCCCAGGAGATGGAAATTAACATCAGGAGGGGCAAATGAACGTCATGTGCTTCCAGATGTGGTGAACAACACATCATTGCATATGCAGTATTCTAGCCACAACGCATAACCTGAATTGAATCATGAGGAAACATCAGACAACCTCAAACTCAGCAATAAACAGCAGACTTTTTTGGGGGGCATGGAGAACAGTGCTGAGGACTAAATCAAGAGTCTTGTACATGTTAGGCAAGTGCTCTACCACTGAGCTACACCCTCAAATCAAATGGTTGATTTTAGGCAAAGTTTTTAATCAATGTTAAACATTTTACTATGGTTATTTATGAGAATATTCCTATTCTTAGAATAAGCATATAAATGATAAAGCAAATGGGGTAAAATGTAAATTAAGACATCTGTGCAGATATACAGGGGTTTTCTTAGTTTTATAGTTTTTCCATAAGTGAAGTAATCCAAGTAGTTTTTTTTTTCCTTGTGGTGCTGGGGATTGAACCCAGGGCCTTGCTCATACTAGGCAAGTGTTCTACCATTGAGTTATGTCCCCCATCTTCCAAATAGTTTTATAAAAATTCCCAGAAGTCTTCAGAGCAGTCTCCTTGGAAGCTACCACATAGCCCGTTTTCCTCTCTCCCAGAATCATTCACCAACTGAATATCTGTACTCAGAGCTAATATAACTGGGCATGATGAGCTACGCCTTCATGAAGCTGAGATTACTGCCTGCACCTGGGGACCAGTACCTGAGAAAGAATTGTGCCTCAGGGCTGTATTTGTATCTGTGTGTCAACTACAGCAATCTCAGACAGCAAGAGACTCCAAAGATTGGGAATATCATCACTTCGTGGTTTGTTCTGAACTTTTTATTCCAAAGAAATTAGCCTTCTAGTTTAGAGGAATCCCCCAATGCTGTGGGCTCACCTGCGAATCTGCTTGAGGACATAGTCTCTGCTGATGTATTTAATGTTCTCCTCTATCACTGAGCGAACACCATCTTCCTCTGTTAACTGTTTCTCCAGCCACTCCACCAGATCCTTATTATTGTCCCAAACATAAGCCTGTAAACAGATGAGTCTTGGTCAAACACCAGGGTCAGTACAGGCCTGGATACCCAACTGTTCAGTATCTGGAAAGTTTACTCCTAAACCCTGTTCAGTGCAAAAATGTTCACAATTTTCCTTTGCTGTTGGCGCTGTAGTAGGAGGAGAGAATAGGCCTCCAGAGAGGACCTTGTCCTCATCTCCCAGGTTCCCTCCTTCGATCTGCAAACACTCTTCCAGGGTATAGGGGCTTACAATGGGCTTAGTCCTGTCGGCCTCTGGACATCTACCTATCACACAAAAGCTAAGAGAACTCAAGAGCCCAAATTAATGGAGTGACTGGGAGGGAAAGGTGTTTATGTAGTGTTTTACTTTTGCAGGAACTGAGACACTGCTACTGAAGTATGTCTCCAGTTCCAGCAAGGCCTGGCAGTGGAGGCTCTGGACCGTGTTTTGGACCTACAGCTAGGGAAGCCTCCTGTGATGAAGCCACTGTTTTTCAACAAGGCACAGAAGGGAGACTGATGTTAGTGAAGTCTTGCTGCTACAGGATAGCTACCAGGCCAGAAACCAACCCCATTTTATTAGCTATAAGAGCATTCAAAAGGGTCAAGAAGTCTACAGCCTTGAATGTCTCAACAACCCACCTCTCACCTCCTCTTTTTCAAGATCATTTAGCTGAGTATTTGCTAGGTAGTTGACTACATAATAGTTCAGGAGTGGGTTAGAAGCCTAATAGCCTTCTCCTTGCTCTCTTCTCCTCTCATTTTCTTTACAAATCATTTAGGAATCGTTTTGTTAATGGTTTCCGGAAAACCAAGTACCACCATTAGGGCTCATTCATATTTATGTCATTTTGTTTGGGTAATTAAACACAAAGCTCGTCATTTAAAGGTGTACTATCCTTCTCTGTTATCACTAACAAAGTCAAAGTCAGAATGACAATGAGTTTGGCACAGTAATGTAATAGGTGGTTGCACTGGGACTGAGGCTTGTGGCTACAGGAAACCCAGATACAAGCAATGGCACAAAAGCCACAACTGTGATGCCAGGGCCTAAAAAGCAGAGGAAATGTTCCCTCTACACTCTTCAAGAAGCATCCAACAGCAAGAAACTGTGCATCAGGATGTTTTCTAACCTACTTCATGCCTTTGAAAACAGTTTCTTTTTAGACTCTCACCTCCCATCCCTAACTTAGCTAGCGAGTTGGCCACGACTGGTTATTTATTATGTATTGTTCTATTGACTTCCGGACTCTTAAGGAGTCCTTTACATGTGAAAGATCATGGATTCCCAGGACTAAGGATCAACAATGAACCTTTCCTAGGTCTTTGTCCACTTCCTTTTCTGGCTTCAGATTTGCCGTCTCTGTCATCACTGATACAGAGATCAGCTTTTCTTCAGCAAGGATGGTGTGGTGAAGGCAGTGCAAATCCCAGGGGCCCTGCCTACCTCGATGCTTCGCTGAGGACTAACAACTTCTTGAGGCTCCCCTGCAGGGAAGTGTTTTGTTCCTAAGGAAAAGAAATGCCATAGTAGGCCCTACTGACAAGAGGGTGGGTAGCACTCTTTTTCCCATAAGTGTTTGTCTTACTTAACTCATGTGTTTCAGTTTATGGACTTGGCCCCATGCCCCACATACCCACCGTAATGGGTACACTTGGCCTCTATCCACTGCCATATAAACTTCGACATTCCCATTTCCATCATCAGTAATTCAGCCTTCTCCATTGTTTGAGGACTTATAACTTCCTCTACTTAGGAGCATGTTGGGGGGGAGGAAAAAAATAAAACAATGAATGCTTCTTGGGTTTCAGAATGGAAAAACCAACTAGATTTGCCCAAGAATCCCAAAGCTTTTAGTTTAGGAGAATATCTAATACTCTTATTAATCATTTTAATCCGTTTGCTTTTAATTAGGAAACAGCATGATGCTTTCCTATCAACATATGCCAGGGAGCAGATTAATTGTAGCTTAAGATAACTCTCCTTGATTGGTGTAATGTATTAGCTAACAAGATGCCTGCTTCTAACGATACTCAGATACTACAATGGAAACCCAGCTACCCTCTAGAGAAAACTCTTCTGCCTTGCCCTCCTGCAGTCACAAAATATGCTAGGTGTTTAAACATTTAAAAAAGTTCCCAGATAGGGCTACAACAACACATTCCAGGTTACACAGTTGCTTGAAAATATGGGGCCTGTATGTAAAAGGTTTGCTGTTTACTCAAAGCACAACTGGACAACAGCCACCATTCCCAATCCCCAATACAGTATGGATTATAGCCCAGAACACATGAAGGCAAAGGGGTCATGAGTCTGAATCAACTGCATTTTTATCAAGAATAAACAAATTTATGTATCACTAGTTTTTCTCAACAGACCAGGGAGAACTGAGCTGCTTCCTTCCACTGTACTATGGAGGTCAGTTTCTTGTCTACCTTCTTTGGCCAGGGCTGTAAGACTAATCATTCCAGCCATTGAGAAGGACAGGTTGACTCTATTTCCAGAAAAGAAGCCATTATCATTATTATTCCTCCTTAGAATTAATTATCATTCCTAGTATTCCAGTGTGGATTTTAAACAAGTGTGAAATGGTGGGCTGCTAATCTCATGACAGGCCTGGGCCCATGCCACCTTGATATTCATCCCAACCAGAACATTTTAATGCCAAAAAATAATAACTAAACATTACAACTCTGGCCTACCCACAATACATGTTCAACAGACTTTCTCTGCATCAGTGGATAAATATTTCAGACATCCTCAGCATAGTTGTATATAGTAATTAGCCTATCTTACAAAATCTAAACTACCTGTTTGGAAAGTTTTGTTTCTAATGTACAAGACAGCAGTTAAACCCTCCTTAGGCCTGATGGCTGTGGGCCCTGATTACCATGTCCCACAAATGACTCACCTTATAAGCTGCTTAGAGACACCTCCTGCTGTGGGGGTTCTTTCCAGCTCTGACCTATATTTCTAGGAGCCACCCCTCTTGATAGGGTAGAATGACACACACATCCCAGTAAATGCATATTTTTGGGAAGACATTTTCAATGTACCTACACTCAAAATGTTAAGATCTATCCAACAGAAGCCCAGGAAACAATGTGATTTTTTTCAAGGGCTGTGGAATACAAGACCAAAAGGCAATGTAGGCCCAAGGTGGCTTGCTGAACCCCCATCTCCTAAAAGTCACCTGTCCCAGTGTCAGAGCCATATATTTTCCCAGTTCTGCCTTTCCTCCCCACTCTATGCCCTTGTGTAAGAAGTCTGGTATATGAGCCTTATCTGTGGATAGCTCAAGGCCAGGCTTTGAAGATATTGGAAATCAAGTGACCCTATCAACACATGCTTTTCCTCTGTTATCCTCACAAGGGCCTCCCTTGAGCATTCATTCCATCTGGAAATTCAGAATAAAAGTGGGTGGCTTGGACAGTAAGAATGCATTATCTGCTAGGCTGTGGGCACCTTAAGAGTGAACTAAATCAAAGAGCCTTCACTGAGTAGCTTCCATGCTCGAGAGCCAAGCCTAGGTTGTTATTTTTTAACTTCTGCCATGCTATGCTGAGGGCAGTGTGCTTCATGCTTTATTTCATTTGAACTCGCTGAACTCTTTGATGTCATATACATTTCCCCATTTTACACCCGAGGCTTAAATAATATGCCAGTAAATGCAAGATGGATTCCCAAAAGTTTGTGCAATTCCAAAACCCACATCTTTCCCAGTGTTCTATCCAGAGTCCTAACCTCAATCTCTACTGTTGGGGTACTGGGTAGAGGATCAATCAACCTGTTTGAAAAACCACACACCTCAAATTGTAGAGCTAGGAATCAAGACAGAAACCATGGAACAAGTGTGTGCCATGTTCTTATGACCCAATTTAAACCACAAGTATTGTTATTTTTTTCAGGGAGCCACAGTGATGCTTTGCTTCTGCCTGCAGTGAAACTATGAACCATAAACCCAAATATTTCCTACAGTAGGACTGCCCCAGTGGATTCAGACAGAATCCTGTAACTCACAGTAACAGATACCTCTAAGAGAAACAAAAGAATTATATTGCTCAGTTATATAACATCACAGTGTCTTTAATTCTCTGTTCTGGAATACCTTTCTTCAGGACTTAGATTAAGAAAACAAATTCTTTGGAGGAAAAAGAATACATGGCATGGCTAACAGATGCCTATCAGTATATGTTTTTCCTTACCAGTTACCACAATGAGAATTAGAGGGTCACTTATTGGTGCAAAGCTAGTCTTTGCACTTGAGAAACACAGCACAAAGATCAATAACTATCTGAAGAACCAAAGAATAGGTAGTTTTAAGCCATTTCCTAATATCAAGCAGGTTCTACATCACCCCTTCACAGCAGTCCAACAGCTTCTGAACACTGCAACACTTTCTTCTCTCAAGGGCACTGCAGATTTTATCACCCACCCCACACTAGCTAGGTCCTGCTGAGCCCGCAGAATGTGGAAGGTTTCAAAGCCACATGTCCTGACTTCATAGGATTACCTGTCCTTCCTTTCTCTTCTTACTGTCTCTGGGATGGAGAGCTCAGGAGAACATTATCGTCTATAGACAGGGCCAAGGGAAATAATCTCAATTCTTGGGTAGAGTTTGTACCCAGTGCTTGGGCAGCTTCTGTGGGGCTGGGGTTATCTTCATCTGAGTCCCAACTAGGAACCCGTGCATATACTGTTCTCCCTACTGATAAGAGAGGAAAATGACCTGTTTCTCCAGACACAACATCCCCTGAGAGCAGGATGCTTAGGAGCAAGTAAGGCACCTATCTACTTGCTTCATGCTTGGAGGGAAGCTATTCCTTCACCTTCTCCTTGTGCCCACCAAGGCTATGCATGTCCATTAGTGACTAATGTGGTAGGAAGGCATGTGGGCCCCACACACACTCCATTTACCTAGCCGGCCACTCTTAACTGGAAGAACAGCCTCTTATTTTACACTTGCGTGACTTTCAATGCCAACTTCCACTAGAAGCTGCCAGTAGCCACTGACAAAACTGTCTCACTCAATTATGATGCCACAGTCTGACCTTAACCTGAACCAAATGTCGGAGAGGGCCGTGCTCCCCTGCTGCACATCTGAAATATTTATCCAAAGAACCTTTTCAGTCATAAAGAAATGGGCAGACGTAACACAAAGGTGAGTCTTAAAAGCACCCCACTTCACTGGCTTTAAAACTGGCTTTAAATCCTGGTTCTCCTTGCTGATAACAATTAGCAAGGCTTTTCAGGAAGAGGTTGGAGTGACCCTCCACCACCAACAGCCTTCCATTAATACCCTAATGGGACAGTCACCAAAGATTTTGATCACACAGCTTTTAGAAATACAGGATATATACATCCTGAATAGTTAGGATTATAGGTGTGAAGCACCAACATCCGGCTAGGAAATATATTTTGAGCAGATATCAATACCCTGATAAAATGTATATATGATATATATGATCTAATCCCTACACTAATTACTAATACAGGTTACTTTCTCTCGGTCTCTGTGTACAGGCTAGAAATTTCCTTCTAGCTCTGACTTAGTTGTGGTTGTAGCATCTCCTGCCATATTATATCACATATTATTAGGCTTTCTGTTCTACTCCCTTCAATTCTATCAAACACAGCTCTCAATGATGCTTCTAAAATCAGAAAATGGTACTTTGCTGCTTGTAATATCTTAGTGGTTTCCCACTTTTTTTCCCACAAAGTCCAGACTCCCAAGCAGCAATCAGGGCCTTGTGCAATTAGGCCCTACTCCTGACTTCTTACTGGTAACTGATCTCTGAGCCATCCTGAAATGTTTGCAGTTCCTTGGATGCATACTGTTTTTGCTATCATGCCTTGGAACATACTATTGCTTCTGCCTGGTACATTCTATCCCCTGCCCCCAAAATCCGAACTTTTCTTCTCATTTGTTCTGACTTTGAGTCTCTGCTAAGATATCACTTCCTCCAGAAGTCTCTCTCCTCCTTCCCCAAAGTCTGGTGCCTGATGATCTCTGTGCTCTGTGACTATGCCTTTTGCTGGATTTAGTACCTGCCTCACTGTTGTGTAGGACCTCTTGACTCATCTGTACCACCACTGTGATAAACTTTGTGGGCAAGAACTATGTCAGCATCTTTTACTGCCATGTCCCCAGGGCCTAATACATTGTCTAGAAAAAGGGTTGCTAAATGATTGCATGAGCTACAAATATGCCCTCCCATGTCTTCTAACAAGAGGTCACAACATGTCACTGGGCTGTGTGTATGGGAAATAGGGCTTAGACTTAGTCTAGGCTCCCCTTTTGCTCCTGCCCTTGAAGGTCTGTAGATTCTTAGATGGCAGCCTTGCAATCCCCAGGTGGGGGTGAGGAGCACAACATGCAGGATCTGCTGCAGTTGTCCTACCTTTACTGTTCCTTCTACTTCCACAAACCAGCGCCTTAACATGGCCTGGATCTGGCCATCAGTCAGCTCGGGGTTGGCATTGTGGATTTTCTTCTTAACCAGATCCTCTAGCAGGAGGCGCCTCAGCCGCCAGTAGAAGAAGGTACGTGATGTTTTCCAATCCAGGATGTCCTACACACAGACAAGACAAGCTCAGTTGACTTAGCCCTAATCCCTGCTCACTGTTTAGCCTGAGGGAACCCCATAGGAATAAAAACCTATTATTCAGGCAAGCCCTTCATAGGCTTCAGAAATGGCTGTGAGCTCTCAGCACCTCCAGGTGTCCCTGAGTGCAGAAATACACCCACAAGTCCTGCTGACCGCAGCCCTGTGCACAGCTGTGAGTCTGGTGAATGCTAATTCTACATATGCAAGGTTCTGGGGAGGAGACTGAGTTCCCAGAACCAGACAGGGAGGAAGTGGTTTTGAGCAGATGGCTCAGACAACTTGCATGCAGATCAAATGTGAATCAGCTGCTACTGGAACCCTGACACCTCAGTAATCTACAGCCTTAGGACTACCTGGGCAAAAGTCACCAACGAAGGCACATGTAACTCAGTTTCCCACCAGTAAAATGGAGCTTGCCTCCTGAGGAGTTCATGGAAACTTAAATCATATGTTGTTTTAGGATGATAATAGACACAAAAAAGGGAAAAGTCTCTCAGAAAATTGAAATGGTTTGATCTGCACAAGATGTCTTAATCTGGCCTTGACAGCTCCCTGCTTGTAGGCTTATGTGCATGGCACTCACAGATCTCTGACAAGTCAGGAGAAGTGGCACTGTTGTACTTACATTAATAACACCCTTCTCTTGCATCCGGCCTGGTGTGTCATGCAAGTCAGCAAACTGCACGGCTACCTGATGGTAAATGGGAATTAGGAATTCCTCCCGCTCCTTCATCTTGTTCTCCAGTTCCTTCCGCTCAGCTGGGCTTAGCTCTGGGGTGCCTGCAATTAGATAGACTGCTAGTCACACTCTATGGTGACTGGGAATCTTGGCACAGAAGCAGCCACAGTCTCAGGAAGCTTCCCTCAGGTGCCTGGCTATTCATTGTCTTCACAATCTCTTTGCTGCATAGCCAGACTCTGAGAAGCTAGTCCTGTCCTTACCTTGCCACACAGGGCCCAAAGTCCTTTTTTCCCTGTGGAGGTCACAAGTGTGAAAGCAGGGATGGCAGCCCTGCTCCCACGCCTCTCTGAGCAGAATGAAACAACCATCTAGAGGCCTGCACCTCTCATCAGCCCACTGCCTAATAGGCAGGCCCTCAATCTCCATAAAGCAGGGGCTGATACAATGACCCGATACCTGTCCATGTTGACAAAGCATGTGTTAGAACAGCTAGACTATTCCAGGTGTGGGATGTGGAGTGAGAGTGTCCCCTATACTCAGAGCACACCCCAGCAGCTCTGGTTTCCCCATATTCACACTAGTTGTTGGTAAGCACCTGCATGACTCCTAGTGTTGCAAGCTGCAGCAGCATTCCAATTTCTAATGTCAGGTTTGGACACACTTAACCTCAAATTAGTAGAACCCAATCTAATTAGAGCCAGATCCATGTGTCTGGTGTCAGCTCAGTGGATTAGCCTCCAGTCTCCCACGTAGGCTGCAACTGATGGAGGCAACACCTACTTAGATCTTCTAGTTCTTGGACTAAAACAGAAGGAAGAAGAAAAAAAAGAAAGGCAGACTACAAATCTCATCTGGATCAATGAGCATATAAACACACTGTACCCTCACTTAGTGGAGAAGAGACTTTGAATTTCTTATAAAGAAGAGAACCCCTCCCCCAGTCAATCGTGTCCTAGTAGAGGTGTTGTTATGCTGTACTTTCCTTCCTAATTGCTTTCAGAATGGGATCTGCAATCAATACTGAAAATGTAGCTGCCTGCCTAGTAAGGAAGACGAAGTCAAGCTGAAGAAGCAATAGACAGCCTCTGATGTTGGGTACAATCTGATGTGCTTTGTCACCAAAGCTGGCAAATACATGGGCATAAGTGATGGGATGCAAAAGAGAAAGGTCTATTTCAAGCATGCTCTCTGGGAACAGGCCTTGCTTTTATGCCACTATGAATCATATACCATAAACAGCCTTGGGCTGCTGAATGAGCCATAAGTGGTATCTATAAACACATATTAGCAGAACAGGGATGCAACTATAGCACCTAGTTTCATTGTTATGAGATTTTTGGATGCCCAACTCCACCTCTCCCACTCCCCTTAAAAAAAATATCAAAGCTGGGTACTGATGGCTACTTGGGAAGATAAGATTGGGAGGACTGAGGTTTGAGGCCAGCCTGGGCAAATCATTCTCAAGACTCCATCTCCAAAATAACCAAAGTAAAATGGACTGGAGGTGTGGCTCAAGCAATAGAGTGCCTGCTTTGCAAGTGTGAAGCCCTGAGTTCAAACTCCATTCAAACCCAACCTCCACCAAAACAAACAAACAAACAAAATCAGTATTTTAAATCTGTGATGAAGGGTGTCAAGGACTATCTTTTCTTGGTTGCACACACAGAGGGCAATCACTGACCTGCTGCCTCAGGCCCCTGCTGCCTCAGCAGCCTACTTTCCAGAACTGGGCCTGTCTATCATTCTAGTTTGGGTCTGTCTGGAGAAAAATGAAAGGAGTGCTGCTGAGTATTGTCGAAGATGAGACTTTCTTAGAACACCTGTGATAGGAAAGCCAACACTTTTCTTTATCCACTGAAGGAACCAAGACCCCTTGGAGAAATAGCTGACTCCAGGGCTGTGGTAGGGAAAACAGAAGATGAGCCTGGCATGTGACAAAAAACAAGGAGGCACCTGGTTGGGACATGTTAGAAGGATGCAGAAGCCAGTTTGAAGGTGCTTCCACTAGCCAAATCTGAGAAAATCTGAGCACCAAAATAAATGATACTTATTAGAGTATTTATGGAATAAAATAAGAATCTGTCTTGAAATAAATCCATCTGGATATAAATAATTAAGTGGGGGAGAATGAAAGAGGAATGTTCTTCCAGCAAAATAACAACTAAAATGTAGAAGGAATGATGAAATTAGAAAATCACCATTTTACAGTCCTCGTATACCAATAGCTGCTAAAACTTGTGGGTGAAAGTTTGTTGATGGTAAAACCCATTAAAATTGTTTTAAAAAGGGGAGAAGGGAACTAGAAAGAGTAATAGAGGGAGTAAATTTGATCAAAGTATATTATATATATGAATGGAAATATAACAAAGAAACCCCTTTGTACAATTAATATATGCTAATGAAAAAAGAAAAAAAGTTTGTTGAGGAACAGAATATTCACAAAGTCTCTAAATATCTCCTTACAAAGTATCTAATTACAAAGGGGAAAATGGTAACTTCACAGTGGATTAATGTGAATAAAATCCTAAATAAGGTCAAGTGTGATGTTTCACACCTGTAATTCCAGCTATTTAGGAGAATCATAGTTTGAGGACAAGGGAGGGGGAGTTAATAAGATCCCCGTTTCAATCAATAAAAAGCATGTCTCTGATCCCAGCTACTCAGGAGGCCATAGGTAGGTGGATCACAGTCTGAGGCTGGCTAAAGGTCTACCCGAAAAATAACCAAAAGCAAAAAGGACTGGGAGTGTGGCTCAAACGGGGCCCTGAGTTCAAATTCCCAGTACTGCAAAAAACAAAACAGAGAAACCCTAAACAAGTAAAGTTACCATCACCAGTGATAGGACAGACTAACATGTGCCTCCTGACACGATATACTGAGGACAGAAGAGCACTTGTGATTTGATAGGATCAGTTTTGACTCTTACCAAAAACCACAGAATCTGAATCTAACTAAGGGGAAACACAAGACAAACCCAAGCCAAGGAACATGCTACAAAATTGGGTTGTATTCTTCAAAAATGTCAAGATCATGAAAGACAGAGAAAGGCTGAAGAATTATTCCAGATTAAAGGAGACTAAAAATATATGACAATCAGGGATTGGGGTATGGCTGAAGTGGTAGAGCACCTGCCTAGCAAGCTGAGTTCAAATCCTAGTACTACCAAAAAAAAAAAAAAAAAAAGAATTGCAGTGTGTGGTTTGGGATTAGAGCTCAGGTCCAAAAGAAAAACCTATAAAGTACATTAGGTAAAATTTTAGTATGAATCATAGGTTAGACAGTAGTAGTATATCAATGTGATAGTTCTGATTTTGATAAATATAGTGTGGTATGTAAGACAAAGTGTGTTCTTAGTAACACACACTAATATGGAAAAAGAGCATGATATCTACAGATTACTCTCTAATAGTTCAAAGAAAATGTGTATGCATGTGTATGTAACCACTGGGAGTGAGCACGCACATGCACAGAGCATATGATAAAGCAAACAGGACAGGAGGTTAACATAAAGTGATTTTGAGAAAAAGGATCCAGAAGTTCTTTGTGTAATTATTGTAATTTTTTTGTAAAGTTAGCCAAGCTGGAAAAATAGTTTTGCCTGGTTATCTAGTGCATATAATCAATAATCAAAGCTAATATTCATAAGGCAGTGGATGCCATTCTAGGTGCTTTAAATGTGTTAATCTTTAAATCTGTTCATTCATTTTTTTTGGCAGTACTGGGGTTTGAACTCAGGGCCTCATACTTGCTATGCAGCCCCTCTGTGAACTCATTTAATCTTCATAATAACCTTATGGGGTTGGTATTCTTATTCCCATCTTATAGGTGAGGAACTGAGGGACTGAGAATTTATGTAACTTACCAAAGTCACAAACCAAGAAAATGACAGAGCCAGGACTGAAATGTAGCAGTTGGGCACCAAAGCTTAGAGACTATCAACTTGGGGCAGAATACCCGCATTTCAATAGCAGTATTACTTTCACCTCAGAAAGGCTAAACAGTGATGGCCATCTCCTCGCTGATAAAGTTGAAGCTCTATTTTAATCCCACTGTCTAAATAAGAACAGGACAGTATCTCCATCAATTCTCAACCATCCTGTGGATCAAATACAATGTCCTAGACAGGCCTAAGATTTAAGGGTAGCTTCTTTTGCTCCTGTGAGATTGAGAACAAATATGATAGCAGGTAAAACCACAGCCTTACTGGGACCAGGGATGGCAGAAGTATGGACATAGCCCAACAGGGAGTTCCAGACTCTTTGAACCTTTGCTTGAATGTACATATACGTCTATATGGATCATACAGAACACACCATTTACTGAGCATTTACCTTGTGTCAGACACCACACTGGAATGTATCATGTAGCTCATAAATCACCACACACAATTCAGACCTAGGTCTGGTCAGCTGTTAATTCTGTTGCCAAGCTAAATACCTCAGTATTACTGTGCACTTTCCAAGTTGCTTCACATTATCTCTGATCCTGATATCCAACCTTACAGACAGGGTATCTACTTTATAAACAAGAAAATGAAGGCTCTGAAATGTAAAGTGACTTGCCCAATGGCACTCAGCTCTTAAGTAGCAAAGTCAGGCTTTATTGTCTCCAAAGCTTGTGTTCTTCCTCATTAAATGGTATTGAAGGTGGCCAAGCAGATATTCTGTCAGTAGCCACCTGGAGAGTTGGCAACTTGTGGTAGCAAGGAGTTAAGAGAAGGCTCAGCATAAGGTACACAAGAGGGAGGAGTTATAAGCTGAGGAGGAGAGCCTTCAGGAAATGAGGATTTGGCCTTAGCAAGTTGGAGGGACAGAGGAGCCTGGCTTCTGAATTATCAAAGGTCTTGCCCACCCAATCAAGCTATTCTAGAGCTTTGAAAGAAGGAAGAAAAAAAAAAAACCAAACTAAAATGTATGGCCCTCCTGAGAGGAAGAAGACCACTGAGAGTTCCCCAAAGGCTGCCTTAAAAAGAGAGGGAGCAAAGAAAGACTGAAGTAGAGAATGTGTTTTCAAATGCACATAAGGTGGTCTAGGATTTGTGTGCTTTGTTTTTGGGGAAAAATGGAATTTAAACTTTTATCTTCTAAAAATAAAAGGC